AATATGAGATTATATGTAATGTAATTGTAATTGAAGACTACGAAATGGAAGCACAAAACAATTTGTAAACCAACCGGCGCACTGTATGTACACCTATGGAAGATAGCTTGATGTTTTTATTTTTTGTTTGTTTATGTTTGTTTTTAAAAACCAATAAAATTAAAAAAAAAGAATGAACTTCTGAAAACCAAACATATCAAAAGGAATCCTTTATTGAGACAATTCATGTAGGAGTTCAAAGCAGCGTCTGAGGTCTCTCAGGCATACAGGGAGAGATAAGGGAGTTTAGAACCCCTCCCCTTATCTCGATGTATATTTAGTGAAACAAAAGCCAGTATGTTAATTCCCCCCCCCACCCCTTTTGTAGAAATGATCTCTTTCACAGTTTCCCAGGGCACACCTAATTTCCCACCACCCCCTTTTCAGAATGAACTATTCCAGAGGTTCCCAGGACACATCTCACTGTGGAATTTTTATGGTCTTCTCACCTCCTGGCTGTGCCTCTCAGAGGTGATAGGTTCAGGCCACCTGGGTTTCCTCCCTCCATTGTATCATGTGTAGGTTATACAAATTCGATATAAGATTAAATATGTTCTGTATTAACATACTCCTAAAACTGAATTCCTATTGGTCCGCACGAACAGCATCCTGATTGGTCCACTAAACGACCGTGATTGGTCCACTAAACGACCATGATTGGTCCGCTAAGAATCAACCGCGATTGGCCAAGCCGATTGCGGGAGATTCAAAGACTTGTCATTGGCCGGCGAGCCGCGAGCAATTCCTATATGAAGGACTGCCGCGGCTCCAAGATCTTGTACAGATCTTAACATAAAATAAAGAGCTTGAAGTACACTGGTCTCGCGCCTCTTTCGTACCCGATCTAACAAGATATATTCAGGTTACATCAAGAAAGGCTTTCTTCATCAGTCTCTCCCCCGCACCCTTTTCTTCTTCCACTGAAGAAATGACAGATACACGGATCTGACACCAGGCTTTAGAAGCATAAATGCTGCAAAGTATTAAGTAACTAATTTAAAATAAAACCAGGTAAAGGATTAGGTCAACCTTCCCTTGTCTTAGAAAAATGCTGAGTGGGGACTCCAATCACCATAAATCTGTACCAGCATCAGATTAATGCAGTGGTGGGATTCAGCCAGTTTGCACCAGTTTGGAAGAACCCGTTGTTAACTTTCTGAGCAGTTTGCTGAACTGGTTGTTGGAAGAAATCATCAGGGCAGAGAAACGGTTGTTAAATTATTTGAATCCCACCCCTGGGCTGGTTATGCAGGTGACCACGGAGAGGATCCGGGGCAGCCCCTGGGTGGGCTCTGACACCCTCCAGCAGGAATAGCACAGGGAGTCCCTGGAGGAGCCTGGAAGGGGAAGAGGGTGAAGGGTAGAATTGAGTGGGGTCTGCAGCTCCAGCCCCTCCCTCGATACTACGGTGAAAAGCAACTCTCTAAGAGAAGTCCAATTGCCTGCTTCACTTCAGAGGATCCCAGTCATGAGATTAACCCTGGAAGAAGTCCTCAAGCAACTCTTGGCTGGCCCTGGAAACAGCTGGACACATCTGGTGGGGGGACCTCCGGGTTCCCACAGCTGCTTGTGGAGCTGACCCCCCAAACTCCGATGCTTGGAGTCTTACAGCTGAGTAGAGAGAATGGAGACTTCAGGCTCCCAGGTCAGAGTCTCCTGTAGTTTGATGATCAGGAAACAGCTGATTAGAGGCTCAGCCTTTTGCCCCGCTGTGGGGTGGAGAGAAGGAAGGATCAAAAGGAACCATAAACATTCTTTTTTTTACTTTGACTTCTTCCTCAGATAAGACCCAGAAGGAACAGGTGGAACTTTCTCTGTAAACTTGTTTACTACTTGCTCAGAAAGTCAGTCAGCATTGAGGCCAAAGTAAACACCAAACAAAAAAAAAATCATCTGTCTCACAGGAGCCACGAATTATTCAAACCTTCCTTGTATTGTGAACCTGTCGCTCGTTCATAAGTTGATAACAAATTAAAATAAATAAATAAATAAATAAATAGAGGAAGGGAATTTCACTAAAGGAGATGCTGGGGCGACTTTGTACATTCCCTTTTATTTTTCCCTCCTTGTTCAAAAGTACAAATGGGACTTGAATACAGATTGAATGCAGAATGTCCTTAAACGAGGCTAAGCAAAGGACAAGAGAAGTTTCCTGCTGGCGAAGGACAGACAGAATCGGAAGGTGAATGTGGGGGAGAGACCCAGGCAGGGCAAGCGTCCCCCTCACTTTCAGCTTCCTCCTTTCCATCCCACGACTGAATGGATAACCTCCTCCTGCTCCTCCTGCTCCTCCCGCTCCTGCTTCCCTCCTGCTCCTCCTCTTCCTCTTCCTGCTCCTCCTGCTCTTCTCCCCTCCTCCTGCTCCTCCTCCTCCTGCTCCTCCTCCTCCTGCTCTTCTCCCCTCCTCCTGCTCCTCCTCCTCCTCCTCCTGCTCTTCTCCCCTCCTCTGCTCCTCCTCCTGCTTCTCTCCCTCCTCCCCCTGCTCCTCCTATGGCTCCTCCCCCTCCCGCTCCCGCTCCTGCTCTTCTCTTCCTGCTTCTCCTCCTGCTCCTCCCCCTTCCCCTCCTGCACCTGCTCCTCCTATAGTTCCGCCCCCTCCCCCTCCTAATCCTGCTCCTGCTTCTCCTCCTGCTCCTCTTCCTCCTCCTCCTGCTGATTCTGGTCCTAAAGTGTTGCTTTTCCCTGCAAGGAGAAACCAAGACCTTCCCCTGGAGATCCACCAGCTTCCCCTCCCCCTTTGGATCTTCCCAAGGACCCTCGTGATCTCCCTGTAGCCCTAAGCGCTGGTTAGACTGAAGCCAGAGGGGAAGGATGTGGAGTCTTTTTTAAAAATTTCCTTTTATTCTTTCTTTTGGGGCTTATTATTGTTTTTCTTTTAGGGGCACGCATGGGTCGTCCTTGACCTATGACCATCACTGAGCCCAACATTTATGTTGCGAAGTCAAAATGTGTTAATTGAGTTTTGCGCCATTTTACGACCTTCCTTGCCACCGTTCTTAAGTGAATCACTGCAGTTGATAAGTCAGTAACCCAAGTTGTTAAGTGAATCTGGCTCCCGTCCATGGACTTTGCTGGTCAGAAGGTTGCAAAAAGGGATTGTGTGACCCAGTCATAAGTAGGAACCAGTGCCCAAGCACCTGGATTTTGATCACACGGCCATGGGGTGCTGACTGTTGTAAGTTGAGGACTACCTGTAGCGCAGGGCGCTGTCCCTTGGGCTCCCCTGAAGCACTAAGCAGAAATAGCAGCTGGGAGTTCGAGAGCCTGGCTCCAAGTGCCCAGGGGCCACCCCTCCAAGGGGCTCTGGCTGGCTTGTCCCAGGGGGAAGGGAGGGGAGGGGGCCGAGGCCCAGAAGTGGTGCTGCTTTCCCAAGCCCTCTGGCATAAGCCCCCCTCCCCCCAGAAACCAACCTGGTTGGCATCCAATTGCTATTCTCGGAAGGGTTGAAGATAGCAATAGCCCTTAGACTTATATACCGCTTTATCGCCCTTTCCTAAGCGGTTTACAGAGTCAGCCTATTTGCCCCCTACAATCTGGGTCCTCATTTGACCCACCTGGGAAGGATGGGAGGCTGAGTCGACCAGAAGGACAGAGAAAAACACTTGCGGACTTCGCCTTCGGGGCGGGCAGGATAGGGGCCGAGAGGGCGGGCGAAGGATGGAGGGCGGCGCTGTCCTTGGCGGAGCGGAGGTCTCTGCAGGTGCAGGTTATAAAGTCTCCTTTTGCCGGGCGCCTCCGTCCTCTCGGCCCTCGCGCTACAGGAATGAGAAGCAGGGAAGGAAACGGGTGCGGCTTCTGTGCGAGTCCACCGCGGCCCCTTGGCGGAAGGGAAGTGTGTCCGGGCCGGTCGCTGCCCAAACACGCGGCCATCCCCTTCAGATCATCGACGGGCCGCCTTCTGCCTAAAGCTCCCCGAAAGCCCGAAGGGGGGTCGATCGGAGGGCGTCGGAAGAAAAATGAGCGAGGAAGTGGCTGCGTTCACACAACGGGCGTTTGAGCGCTAACCTGCCGGTTGCGGGCAGCGTCTCCCTTCCTTCCTCCACGGCCCGGGAAGACCGCAAGGGAGCAGCGCTGTTTTGGTTCTTCGGGGACGGGACGGAGAAGTTCAGCAGAGTTGGGCTTCTTTGCAGATCCGGACGGGACCCGGACCAGAAGAGGCGCCTAAGCGGCTTGTCCTTCGCGAAGGGCGGATGCACCGGGCGCTCCTTTTGCTCTTGGGAGTAGCACTGGGCTCCTTCGGGCCTGGAGCTCTTTGCGGTGAGTTGGCGGCGGTGGTGGTGGTGGGGGCAACAGACGTGGGGGGGGGATCGCTTGTCCTGGGTCGGGTCTCTCTCTCCCCCATTCCCCCCTCAATGCCAAACTCCATTCGCACAAGGAAAACTTCCTTTTCCTCCGTTTCACCGAATCTGGTTTAAAAACGTGGGTATCTGATTTGTAATCGGTTCCCATTTACAGAGAGTAAAAGTGTATATAATATTCCACGGATGGATAAGGTGCACTGTATATACTTCATATGTTTTAGTGTCCAGTCCTCTAATCATCCTGATTGCTCTTCTCTGCACTTTTTCTAGAGCCTCAACATCTTTTTTATAGTGTGGTGACCAAAACTGGATGCAGTACTCTAGGGGTGGTCTTACTAAGGCTTTATTGAGTGGTATTACTACCTCCCTTGATCTCGGTTGTTAAGGCAATTTAGGATTGCATTGGCCTTTTTTGGCTGCCGCTGATCCCGTTTGACCTCACAGGCCTGTTGTTGCCCAGAAGACAAGCTGCGAATGCACACACTGGGAATGCACACATTTCGCAACTCTGGAAGCTGTGGGAGGGGAGAGGAGGAGGGGGAGGGCAGAGCGCTGGACAGTCTCCTTTCACTTTCACTCCTGGCTCAGAAGCACAAACGGAAAAGGCGCCTCAACTCCTTTTTAAGTGAAGTTGGGGGGGGGGGGGGAGCGCGAGGAAAGGAAGCCGTGTTCGTGCGAAGGATCGGCTTTTCGGACAGGGGGGGAGGCAGCCCGGGACAGCCTCCCCACCCCGCCCCGCAAGACTCCCCGAAAGGGCCCTTAAGGCTAGCGCTTAACGCTGAGAATCAAGGGATCATTCAAAGCGCCAGATTTGGTTCCGTTTTTGAGTACCGCCTCGATTCATTTCCTGCCGAAGTTAACTGTTGGACTAGCAACGTCGGAAGCCAGCAAAGGGGGGCAGAACAGAAGCGGGGAGATCCGGCAGGTAAGAAAGGAAAGGGCTTTATTTTTTAAATTACCTGCATTAAAAAAGAACAAAACAAAACGCCCGATTCCAGACCGCTCTTGCTTGCCCGGGCAATTTAGCGTCTTCCTCGAGAGTTCGAGGCAACTCCCATCCTCCCCAGGCCGCAGGGGAAGATGGGGATTGTAGCCTCCCCACTCCCCCAACCCAAGGGGGCAGGCAGGGGTCCCCAAACTTGGCAACTTGAGTTGGACTTCAACTCCCAGAATTTATTTTATTTATTTTATTGATTGATTTGATTTGTCAATCGCTTACAAGACAATAGGTGTAAGTATTAACATGAGTAAGAATACAGGAAATGGGTACGAACAAATGGGGACAATAGGATAGGGACGGGAGGCAGGATGGTGCACATGCACACAGGCTTAAAGTTGCCAAGTTTGGAGAGCTCTCTGCTCTTGGGTAAACCAGAGGTGCCCGATTAGCAGATTAACAGAGTGGGAAGGGACCTTGTACGTCATCTAGTCCAACCCCTGAGCTAACCCGCTCCTCCACAAAGGCCGTTCCCACAACTCCTGGCCCAACCCCTTAGTTTCAGAGGTCTCCAAACTTTAAGACTTGTGGACTTCAACTCCCTGTAATAAGGATCTTATTACAGTATGCGCGCTCGGGGCTGGGCAGTTTTTTTCCTCCCCGAAACCTCCTTGGGCTCCGGCTCCTTCCCTTTCCTGGCTCTCTAAGTGGGGGTTCTCCTTTCCTTCTCCCCCAAAGGGAGCTTCGGCGCTGGGACCCCGCGGATGACGACCTCAGCAGCTTCCCTTTCCAGCGCTCAAGTCCCTCCGGCACCCTTCACCGACTTTCTCCGCCGCCGCCCAGCTGATCGGGGCTGGCTCCACCCTTCGGCGTCCAAATCCGGATGGGGCTCCCGAGGGCGATCTTGGGGCTTCTGGCCGCGGCGGCCGTCCTGTTGCTGCGGGAAGGATGCGCAGGTGAGTGGGCGGAGCTAAGGAGACCTGATGGGGGCAGCTTGGTTTTTTCCTGTGGCAGTGAGTTCCAGAGGCTTTGCCCGGTTGGGGAGGGCGGGCATCCTATCAATCTATTTATTTATTTATTTATTTTATTTATTTGATTTTTCAATCGCTTACAAGATAATAGGTATAAGTATAAACATCGTTATGAATACATGAAATGGATACATATAAGAGAAATAAAAAGGATCAATAGGGCAGGGACGGTAGGCAGGATGGTGCACTTATGCACCCCCCCTATCTCAAATAAATACACACTTTTCTCTCTTTGTAGACTTTTTGCATGGTTTTAGACTGCCTGCGGTAGAACTGAAAGTTACCAAGGGGTATCTAGTCCCTCCTCTAAAGGAGAATATTTCTACGTCAGGGTTGAAATGAGAAGTCCTTGGTGTTCTATTTATTTATTTATTTTTGTTTGTCAAGCATGTATGAGAAAACCAGTATAGATGTTTAAGGATAAATCGGCAAAATGTTGGAAATGTCATCAGATACCTGGATCATATTACCATATGTGGTGGACATGTGCAGAAGCTAAAAGATACTGGACTAAAATATACACATGGTTGGAACAAATGATAAAACAACAGATTTAAATAGATTTAAAACTAGAGATATTTTTATGGGGGATTTTGCCTGAAGGTTATAATAAAGATAATGTATTTGATTATCAATGTAATAACAGCAGCTGGAATTGGAAAAAATGAGAAAATTCCGATGGAGGAAGAAATGATTAAGAAAATAATGGAATGTGCAGAAATGGGTAGATTAACATTAGAAAGCAAGAAGAAAAGGAGTATTATAAGATCTGGGATTTATTTTATGAATGGCTAGATAGAAGAGTAAGAAATTGAAGGGTATTGTAATGGTAATGATACATTACAACTGACTATTTTTGAACAAGCTATACTATGAATATAGCTTAGCAGAAATGGAGATTTGCTTTTAAAAATAGCCTGGAATTAAAATTAAAATTTTAATGATAATATAATAATGATACAATACGATATAGAATGTTGATTAGAATATAATATGAATATATTTAAGAGGAAAGGTTTATAAATATTGTGCACACAACATATGTACCAAACAGACACACTGTATAATTGAAAGAAGGTTTTATTTGTTTTGTTTGTTATAAAATCAAAATCAAAATCAAAAAAGAGGGAAAACAAGTATAAGTATGAACACAACATATAAACATATAAGTATAAACAGGTATGAGTATATATACATAATAAATGGTACGAATCAATGGGAACATTAGGACAGGGGTGGTAGGCATGCTGGTGCGCTTATGCACACCCCTTACAGACCTCTTAGGAATGGAGTGAGGTCCACAGTAGACAATTTAAGGCTAAAGTTTTGGGGGGGGGGTTGGAGGATGTAACAACAGAGTCAGGTAGTGAGTTCCAGGTGTTGACCACTCTGTTGCTGAAGTTGTATTTTCTGCAATCGAGTTTGGAGCAGTTTACTTTGAGTTTGTATCTATTTGCCCGTGTGTTATTGTGGTTGAAGCTGAAGTAGTCATTGACAGGTAGGACGTTGTAGCAGACAATTTTGTGTACTAAGCTCTCTGAGCTTGGTTGTTTTCTTTGATTTTCAAATTTTATGATTCATTTTTATCAAAACATAAGATACAAAGGAAAAAATAGAAAGGAATGGGAAACTGGGGGAAGGAAAAAGGGAAAAAGAGAAAATGTGGGTTGGGAAGGGAAAAAGAAAAGGCATTGACTTCCAACTCTCTTTGGCACAATAGAAGAGAATAACATTACAATCTCAACTTTTTACTTTTGTGCACTAGTTAGTATATACTAGCCATTTTTATAAAACAGCAAACTTGTCTAATCAACAACAAAAAAATTCATTCCCCCCTCCATCACAAGCATACAGACTAGAAGCAATTTCCAAACAGAAAGAAATAATATATATTTCTGTTTGGTCATAAAAATTTATACATCATCACAATTTAGTTTAATAATATTCAGTATATTCTTTCACATTTTTTAACCCTAAAGGACAAAGAAAAGACTTTTTCTAAATTTTAAAACATTAAACTTTTCTTTAAAACATTTCTAAAACCAGTAAGTTCCAACACATCTTTTTTTAACTTTACTCTTTTTAAACTTCCTCTTAATATACATACAGTAAAATTCACTTTCAATAATACTTTACAAATTTTAAGGATTACTCAAACTTAAAGAAGAAAATCCTTTCTATTTCAAACCCACTTTATTAACCCAGAATCCAAAAACACAAAACTCCATTAAAACTTTCTTTCAATTATGTATATCTCACACCAATAAAATTCCAACTATTTATTTATTTAATTTATATTGCGGCCTATTTGCCCATGGTGACTCGAGGCGGCTTACACAATGTAAAACCATATTTGAAAAAAAAAAAAAACCTAACAAAAAGAATCAAATAAATTAGTAAAGTACAATAGAACAAAATTTGGGGAAACAAAAAACAAAACAAAAAATAAACAAATCACCCTTCAACTCCCATCCCCCGCCCCGATGACAGCAGTTCACACTAGCCATTTGATGGGCTTCGTCCCACTCTGGGTTCCCCAGGCCCGCTGGCAGAACCAGGTCTTCAGTGCCTTCCAGAAGAGTGCTAGAGTGTGGGCCATTCTAATCTCTGGGGAATGATATTCCAGAGAGACGGAGCCACCACAGAGAAGGCCCTTCTTCTGGACTCCACCAGGTGTATCTTCCTCAGGGGTGGGACCTGCAGCATTCCCTGCCTCCTCGCTCTAATGGGTCAGGTGGATGTGACCGGCAAGAGATGTTTCCTCAGATAACTGGGACCCAAGCCATGAAGGGCTTTTAAGGTGACAACCAGCACCTTGAATTGCACCTGGAAGCAAATTGGCAACCAATGCAGCTCCTGCAGGAGAGGTGACACTGAGCACCCACACGGGTCTGCATAAAATCATGCGGGCTGCTGCATTTTTGCACCAACTGGAGCTTCCGGATGCTCTTCAAGGGCAGCCCCATGTAAAGCACGTTGCAATAATCAAGTCGGGAAGCAACCAGGGCATGAGTGACTGTGAGTAGGGACCGCTGATCCAGGAAATGGCGTAACTGGTGCACAACCTGCAGTTGCGCAAAGGCCCTTCTGGCCACGACCACCACCTGCTCTTTGAACAGGAGTCGTGAGTCCAGGAAAACCCCTAGATTACGCACAGGGTCTGTTTGGGGTAGTGCCACCCCATCCAAGACCAAAGGTGGCAATTCTCCCTGAGCCAATGAACCCCAAACCCAGAGCCACTCGCTCTTGCAAGGGTTTAGTTTCAACCCGTTGCTCCCCATCCAGCCCCTAACAGCCTCCAGGCACTGCGAGAGGGAGGAAACAGCATCACTTAACTCACCACGGGCTGAGACATACAGCTGAGTATCATCAGCATATTGGTGATACCTCAGTCCATGGTGATGGATTATCTCACCCAGCGACTTCATATAAATGTTGAACAGGAGCGGAGAGAGTACCGAGCCCTCTGGAACCCTGTAAAGCAGTGGGCGAGGGTTGGATCTCTCCCCTCCTATCAACACTGACTGAGAGTGGCCACAGAGGAAGGAAGTGAACCAAGACAGCACAAGGCTTCCCACTCCCATCCCCCGAAGTCACATCAGGAGAATCCCATGGTCAATGGTATCAAAAGCTGCCGAGAGGTCAAGTAGAGCAAGGATGGATGCACTACCCCCATCCCGCTCTCGCCAGAGATCATCCAATAATGCGAGCAATGCCATTTCTGTCCCAAATCCAGGCCTGAATCCTGACTGGTAGGGGTCAAGATAATCTGTTTTGTCCAGAAACCTCTGGAGCTGCTGCGTGGCCACCTTCTCAACAGCCTTCCCCAAACTAACCACAAATAACGCATTAAATTTAAATTTCTCCCTCCAATTTATACTCAGGCAATAAGATCTTTTTCTTCTCTTTAAAAATATTAACCATTCATATTTTTGAATTTGATTTCAATATCTTACAAACTTTGGGTGTTATTCAAACATTATATAGTGTAAAAAGACAGAAAACAAACATTTATAAAGCCATTTTATAAACACAATGCTATATTAAAACTTCCTTTCAATACATATGTCAGGCTTGTAAAGATCCATCCTAACTCAGATTAACTCATTGAATTTAATCACTCCCTCCAGCTTATCCTTACATGATAAAATAATCTTCTTCTCAGGAATGTCATTCAAGTCCCATGTCCTCAACAAATTCTTGTTAACATTAAAAAGAAAACCCAAAATTTTTCTATTAAAAACCTGAAGTTCTTCCACATAAAATAAAGTTTTTGTCAGGGTTCCAAGTAACATACCTGTAGCAAACAAAAATCTGAGGCAGGTAGATTCCTCAAAGAATAGGTTTTATTGAGTATGTCATCTTGGCACAGGCTGGTGAAAACCAACTCTGAATATTCCCACGGTTTTTACCTAACTAAAAAGTAAACGTTTGCCACTTTCCCAAAACAACCAGTCACATTTTTTGACTTGGGGCTTATTTTATCAATGGCTAGCAGACAAAAACAGGAGCAACAAAAAGGGAAATATATGAAAGGATTAGTGATATAAGGAAGATATTTTAATTTGGTTAAACAAATAGCATGATTATTATTATTAACATTAATATAATTGATACTAAAGCAATGAATGGTATCATCAATATTGTGATTATTATTTCCTAAAATGATTTGTACCCAGACAACAAGCTGTTCAACTGAAATTGGAATTAAATAATATAAAAACTTATTACAAAAATAAACGAAAAGAAAAAGGTCCTGTGCTCTGGCCTGACCTCCTATTGCAGAGCTCTTCAAATTTGACAGCTTTAAGACTTGTGGACTTCAACTCCCAGAATTCCTCCTCCAGTCATGTTAGTTCATGAATTTTGGGCGTTGAAGTCCACAAGTCTTAAACTTGCCAAGTTGGAAGACCCCTTGTCCTACACTTTCCAGGCGCTCTTGGCAGAACACACAGAGGAAGCAAGATCCAGCTGTGATTGGGAGAAGGATCCACACACACACCCCGCACAGGCATACACACCAGCAGTGGGATCCTACCTGTTCCATTACCAGTTTGGTGATCGTGCACGCATTTAATGTGCATGCACCTAACGCGCCCATACAGCTTTCCACACACCAGCTGAGGCCTGCAGCGCCAATCAGCTGAGAGGATAAAGATCAGAAAAGCGCAGTGGTGGGTGGGAGGGCCGATCCTGCGCTTTTCTCTTCTTTCCCCTCTCAGCTGATCGTCGGAGGCTTTTTTTTATTACCGTTCGGCTGAACTGGTAGGAATTTTTGCTACTGGTTCGGCTGAACTGGGCCAAACCAGTAGATACACACCTTTCCCATGCTTTTCTGGGCTATAAAGTGAAAATTTAGAGGTACTCACCTTCTTTTCAAGCAGCCTTTGAGCTCAACACTCAAAACCCCTTTGAAACCTTTGCTCCAAATGGCCAAAGTCCAGGAAAACTCACCCACAGACTCAGTGGGTCTTCTGCCGGCAAGGGAGGCCAGGTCCATTGGTCAGGTTAGCTTGGAGTCCCATCTGGGTCGCCAAATTTTTGGAAGAAATGTCCGTCTGGGTTCAGTGCCAAGTGGGAAGACAATGGAAACATGGCAACTGCTTGGAAGGATGGTTTTAATGGTGCACAGGACCACATTGAGGTCCTGGGCAAAAAAGCACATGAGTGAAAGAGGGAGTGAGATTTATAACCTCTGTTGGGCTTTGAACTTGCTTCCTGTTCCTGTGGCAAGAAATGTATCTTGATTGGTTGTCAGACTCCCATGGGGCCATGCAGGGTTAACTTTGTAAGTGGTCTTGAGTCCCAAACTTGGTTGACTCTTGGCTGGGTGATGTAATCTTCCCAGGTGCCATGTAGTGAGTTGGGTAGAGGGCTAACTCTATCATGTCCTGAGGGCCATCTCTTAATCCCATCACCCTGGAGATGAAGGGGGGGCAGGGAGGTACAGGAAGCTGTTTTGTCTTAAAAACATGTTTCACCTTTTCTCATCCAGGGAAATATAATATTCTGCCTTTTTAATATTTCCTAGAATATTTCATTCTTCTACCGTAGGAGAGGGGTGGGTGCTAACTTTCTACAGGATCTCTCTCTTTCCCCCTCTCTCCCTCTCCCTCTCCTTTTTTTCCATCTGTGGTTCATGCAACAGGCATAACCAGGCCATTTGCCAGCTAAACTTCGCAGGCGATCATCTTAGGCAGGGCAAACGTTGCATTGTAAAGGAGCTGGACTGAGAACTTCAAATGAGCTCGGGGATGGATGGAAGTAGAATCCAGGTGAATTCCAGTTTACTGATTTGATTTGATTTGTCAATAACTTACAAGATAATAGATATAAGAATAAACTTGAGTATGGATACAGGAAATAGGCACAAATAAATGGGGACAATAGGACAGGGATGGTAGGCATGATTGTGCACTTATGCACACCCCTTACAGACCTCCTAGGAATGAGGTCAATAGTGGTTAGTTTGAGGTTAAAGGAGTAGGGGTTAGAGGATGTAACAACAGAGTCAGGTGATGCATTCCAGGGATTGACCACTAGGTTGCTGAAGTCATACATTCTGCAATTGAGTTTGGACCAGTTTACATTGAGTTTGTATCTGTTGGGTGCTCTTGTATTGTTGCAATTGAAGCTGAAGTAGTCATTGACTGGTAGGACATTGTAGCAGATAATTTTGTGTACTACGCTTAAGTCTAACTGTAGGCGGCGTAGTTCCATGTTGTCCAAGCCCCAAATCTCAAGTCTGGTGGTGTAGGGTATTCTGTTGCAAGCAGAGGAGTGTAGTACTGTTCTCGTGAAATACTTCTGGACTCGCTCAGTTGGGAGAGGTCAAGGCTGGAAAGTTGGGAGAAGATGCTGCTACGGCCAGTGTCCCTCTTGCTGCTGGGGGTGGAGCTGGGAGTCTTCGTGCAGGACGGCTGCTGCAATGAGTTCCTTGTGGGCAGAGAGGGAGGGAGAAGAAGCAGAAGGAGAGGGAGAGCACAGGTCCTAGGCTGGATGTTTCCCTCTTTCTTCTCAGTCCCTTGCGCTTCGTTGAGCCTGTGTAAAAACTTGCCCATCTTCATTTGTGATCCATTCCTATGTGTGTTTGAAAGAAAATGGAGCGTGCAAGTGGAAACCCTTCGAGCTCAATCAGCCTCGCCTTTGGCTGGGAAAGGGCAGGCTACCTGCCTTTGAGCTGCCTGGGGAGGAGAGGGCGGAGGTGGGGAATCCTCTCTGGGGAGGCGGTCAGGTCTCCCACTCTAACAATTAAGCTTCAAACCATTCAGATTTCGGTGACTCTCCCTGCGATGGGCGAGGGGAGGGGAGGGGGTGCGATTGAGGTCAGGCCCCAAAGGTCCCGAATTGCTGTGAGGCACCTGAACCAGATGTGGGTCTGTCCAGCTGTATCCAACGTCAGCCAAGGGCTTTCTGGGAGCTCCCTCCTTGCTTTTAAATCATGGACCTTCTCAAGCACAGCTAAAAAAGACCACTTGTTGTGGGGAGTGGGACTCCTGTGTGACCATCAAATGTTGGAGAGGCTGGAGCTGTAATGCAACCGCCTAATTCTGCTCTTCTTCCTTCCCAGGCTCTCCCTCACACTCTCTGCATTATTACTACCTGGAAGTGCCAGAGCCCAGCCAGGGGCTGCCCCGGTTCGTCATTAGGGGCTACTTGGATGACCAGCCCATCACTCAGTATGACAGCCTCACTGGGACAGTGGAGCCTCTGGTGTCCTGGATGGAGGAGGCGGAGAAGAAGACGTATCTGGCCCTTGACTTGGTGATCAGTCCTGACCTGATGAAGTTGTCAGAACTCAACCACCCGACTGAAGGTGAGCAAAGACGCTGCCACATTGATGCCTGGGTTAGACTATATTTCCTGCAAAGGTATGACCCCCACCCCACCCTGCGCCCCCAGATTTTTCTCCCTCCCCTGGAAATTCTTTGCCTTCTGCTCGTGCCCCAAAAGGATTAATTGCACTCTGATCACCAAAGACTTTCCTGCTTGTGAGATAAAAAGAGGAGGAGAGATTGGGTTTCCCAATCGCTAGTGGGAAGGGGGGAGAAACTTCCTACTAGTGACCCTTGTAGAGGGGAGGGTCTCTGAAAAGGGACATCCTTCTCACCAGTGGTGGGATTCAAATTTTTTTACTACCGGTTCTGTGGGCGTGGCTTGGTGGGTTTGGCAGGGAAAGGATATTGCAAAATCCCCATTCCCTCCCCACCCCACTGACCTGCTTTCCAGCTCCGTTCTCCTGTGCAGGGCAACAAAAGAAGACCCAGCCAATCAGCTGGGACTCAATGGGAGGCACAGAATAGATGGGGTTGGTGGGGCCAGTCAGAGGTGGCCTTTGCCGGTTCTCTGAACTACTCAAAATTTCCACTATCGGTTCTCCAGAATTGGTCAGAACCTGCTGAATACCCACCTCTGGCTATAATGCTCTCTCGGGGAATTTTGGTCTTTTTCATTCGCACCCACCCCCCTCTGGGTCTCTTTCAGGGCTTCACATCTGGCAGGTGATTTTGGGCTGTGACGACAGGAACAAAGGAGGGGTTTTCCGCTATGGCTACAATGGGAGCGACTTCATCAGCTTTGAGAATGAGACCTGGGTGACAGCTCAACCCCAGGCCGAGAAGGTCAAGGAGAAGTGGGTGGGTGATCCAGATTGGTCCCAGATAAGTAAAGACTACTTGGAGAAGATCTGCATTGAATGGCTGAAGAAATACCTGTCCTACAGGAAGAAGGCTCTGGAGTCCACAGGTGAGTGGCAAAGGGGTCTCCATTGCACTTATTTCTGTAGGCTCCCTCCTCTCTGCCTCCCAATATCATTTCTGCCCAACATAACCAAGCCACCCTTCATGCCCCTGGGGAAAAAATAAAAACCTGGGTGTATCCCACACCAGACTCTAGAAGGACAATGGGAGCGGGGGGAGAGATTCTTCTATGCTCCCTGAGATAAGTTTTCCAAAGAGAAAAAACTAATTAAGCCTGGGATGAAGGCTGAGATCCATTTCCATGAGAAAATCTTGCAAAGCAGAAAAAACTAATTCCTTTATCCTCCCTGTTCTGTTGTGGAACAAAGACGGACTCAAGACTGGAGTTGAATTCAGCTCTTTATTAAGCGTCAGTAACTTCAACTAAACTCGAGCCGCGGCAGCCTCTTTTATAGTGGCTGCTCACGGCTCACGGCCAATGGCATCGTTTTAAACTTCCTGCCGTTGGCGGACCAATCGCAACAGTTGTTAAACCGCCAATCAATAGGTGGCAGTGATTGTCCAATCAGAATGTAGTATTACGAGTATGCAAATGTCTATATACAACACCCCTCCCCTCTTGGTTCGGTCCAATGCTACGTTACGTAGTCACGTAAGCAGGCGGGGCTTTTATGGTTCCTACTTGACCTGCGCAGTTCAGTCTGTGTTGACTTTCGTCGGTTCGGACAGGATCGCTGTCTCTCCTGTCCTCTCTGGAACCTCCTGGAAGGGTGAGTCAGCCATGCCGCTCCCGCCTGGTTTTTTTGGGCTGGTTGAGTCAGCTTTGCCGCTCCCTCCTGGCTTACCCGGGAAGGTTGAGTTGGCTCGGCTGCTTCTTCCTTGGGTGTCTTCCAGCTCCTTTCTTCCGAACTCACCTTCCGGTAAGTAGTTTTTATTTTTTGTTGGGCTTTCTGGAACGGGTTGCTGATTTGTTTTTTGTCATGTTAATGGAGGGTCTTCCCTTTCTTTAATATTTGATGGTTCCCCCTCCCTCTGGTTTTGTTATTATTTATTGGATTTTGTGTGTGGGCATGTTCTGTGCTTCGGGGCGTGTCGGTGATCCATTTGATAGTTCGAGACCGTAGTTGGTCACATCGACCAACTTCTTCCAGGTTCTGCCGTCCGTCGTTTCCAACCGGTATGACCGTGGCCCTGTTATTTGCGTTATTGTGGCCGGCAGCCACAATGGGTCTCCAATAAGAGTTTTTGCGTATACCAGGTCGCCTGGAATAAATTTGTGGTACTTACTGGAGGAGTCTGGTGGCTTTTCAGGGTTGTAGGTGGGGTGCAACCTATCCAAATATGTCCGCAATTTTCTGCCCATTAAAAATTCAGCTGGACTCTTGTTCGTTGATGTGCTCGGCGTTATATGTTGGATTGTGAGCATTGTATTGATTTTGTCTTGAATGTCACCTGTGTCAATTTTTTCCAATGCCTCTTTCGTATATCTAACCATGCGTTCCGCCCTTCCGTTTGAAGCCGGGTGAGCTGGCGCTGTCAGGGCATGTCGTATGTCCTGTTCTGTGAGGAATTGTTCAAAAGCTAAGGCTGTGAACTGGGGGGCATTGTCCGAAACTAGCATATCTGGCAACCCATGCGTGGCGAAAAGTTTTCTTAGTTGTTTGGTGACGGCTTCAGTCGTCGTGGAATTCATGATGCTGACCTCCAACCAGTTTGAGTAGGCATCGACAACGATTAAAAATGTATATCCTTTTGTGGGTCCGGCGAAATCTATGTGGATCCTCGACCAGGGGCCTCTGGGTGTCTCCCAGTCGAGGACCGGTGCTAGTGGGGGAGTAGGTCTGGACTTCTGGCATTTATTGCATGTTGTCACCCATGTTTCAATGTCTCTGTCCATCCCTGGCCACCAGACATAGCTTCTGGCCAGGGACTTCACCTTTACCATACCCGGGTGTCCTTCATGCAACATGCCCAGCACTTCTTCCTGTAGTTTTTTGGAACAACAACACTATCCCCCCACAGTATACATCCTTTCTCAACTGACAGCGCAGTTTGCCGGGTTCTGAAAGGTTTAAAAGTTTCGTTCTTGTCGTTTTCCGGCCAGCCCCTCCCTACCCAATTCAGGATCTGAGCCATCAATGCGTCTTTTGCGGTTTCCTTTGCGATGTCTGATGTGGTGATATGCAGATTTGGTAATGTTTCAATTTGGAGTGTGGATGTGGTAGGAGCTGGGTCGTCGTCCCGATCTGGTAGAGGTGAGCGGCTCAGTGCGTCGGCATGGGGTATTGCTTTTCCTGGTTGGTGGACGAGTTTATAGTTGTAGGCTGCAAGGAATTCTGACCACCGTGTCATCCTTGGTGATAGGATGTTGGGGGTGGCTCTGTTTCCCACCAGAATTCCCAGCTGTGGCTTGTGGTCAGTAATTAAGGAAAATGTCCTACCATAAAAGTATTCTTGAAACCGTTTGACCCTCGATATGGCGGCTAAGACTTCTCTATCCAGTTAGCTGTAGTTTCTTTTGGCTTTTGACAGCGTTTTAGAGTAAAAGGCGATCAGTGCCTCTCTGCCATCAGGTAGTGTGTGGTTGAGTATGGCGCCCACACCGAATAGTGATGCGTCGCAGGTGACAGTCAGTGGCAATGTGTCGCTGTATTGGATTAATACAGATTCAGATGTTATTAGGTCTTTAATTCCCTGGAATGCAGCTTCTTCTCATTGGCCCAAGGCCCAGGTGGCCTTTTTATCGAGTAGTCTGTGCAGTGGTTCCACTATTGTTGCCTTTTGCGGCAAAAAGACATTGTCAAAAATTAATGAGTCCCAAAAATGCCTGTAAGTCTGTTTTATTTTTGGTTCTGGATGCTTCTTTTGTGGCTCTTATTTTTTTTTCCGGTGGGGTGGATTCCTGCTTCATCAATAAGGTATCCCAGGAACTTGACCTGATTTGTAACAAGTTGGCATTTTTCTTTTTTCACTTTGAGTCCGGCTTCTCTAAATCTTTGCAAGACTTCTCTTAGCCGGTCTTTTAGTTGCTTTTTATTTCCGGCAGATACCAATACATCATCAAAATAAGGGACTACCCCTTTTAGTCCTTGTAGGAGGCGTTCCATCCGGCTTTGGAAAACACCTGGGCTCATGCTGACACCAAATTGTAGCCTGTTGCATTTGAATGCCCCCCTGTGCGTTACAGTAGTCTGTGCCTCTGCCGTCTTGGGATCAACCGACAATTGTTGATATGCTTGCGTGAGATCGAGCTTTGCAAAAACTTTTCCTCCCCCCAAGTGCAAAAGGTGCTGAACTACTGGAACGGGGTATGCGCTCTGCTGTAATGCGTGGTTTAGGGTGGCCTTATAGTCACCACAGATGTGCACGGACCCATCTGGTTTCACGGGGGTCACAATCGGGGTTTCCCATCTTGCATTGTTGATCGGCTCTAGTACTCCTTGTGGGATGAGTCTGTTCAGTTGCTCATCAATTTTTGGCTTTAAGGCAAAGGGGACGCGTCTGGCTTTTAACCGGATGGGGGCTATGTTGGGGTGCAGACTAAATGATATAGGGGTCTCACGGTACTTGCCTAGCGTCCCGTCGAATACGTCCTGGAACTCCTTCATCAGGCTTTCTTCCCAGTCCGTCTCAGAGACGCTGTTGATTCCTGTCACCTCGATTCCTAAGGGTGCGAACCATTCTAACCCAAGCAGGCTGGGGCGATCTCGGTCAATGATTGTCAATGGAAGGACCTCAGTATGTCTTTTGAAATTTATTTTGAAATGTCCCAATCCAACTACCGGAATCTTGTTCCCTTGGTAATCTTTTAACGTCAGGCTTTGCTCTTCGAGTTCTTTTCTTTGGATGTCGGGTATCAGGTTTTTTATTGTGTTCCATGATACCATTGACAGATATGAGCCGAAATCCACCTCCATCTCGCATGGTTGCCCTTCTATTTTAACATTTATGTAAACCTTTTTTGCATCGGTTGTTCTGGCGTTTCCAATGATGAAGGTTTGGTGTGTTCCTTCTTTTTCGTTGATTCGCTTGCTTCTGTTTTCTCGGCTCCAGCGACTCCCGGTCTGTCTTTCTCTAGCTCTGGGGGGGGGGGGGGGGTGCTGCCTTGTCTTTTTGGACTATAGCTCTTTTTGTTTCGGCAGACCCTTGCAATGTGCCCCCGTTTTTCGCAGTGTCTGCAGATGGCATCCAAGAAACGGCACTCTGAACGCGGGTGGTCTCTTCCGCATCTGGCACACTGAAATTTGGGCTTCCTTCCTCTCTTTTCTCACCGGTTTCGTTCTGACTGAAGCCTATGTATTTCCTCGTCTTCGTCTTCAGTGTCGGATGAGGAAACGACGTCTTCATGGTGGGTGGTCGCAGTAGTGTGTTTCTGGGTACCTTCTGCTTTCTTTTCCCGGCTTTGGTTTGGGCTGTTCTGTGTTTCTCGGTTGGTCGTGTTCATTTGTCGCATCGTAGCCGCTGATTTCTTTGCTGCTTCGGCTGTGGTGGCTTCAGCGATAGCTTCGTTCATGGTGATGTTGGGTCGGTTCAGTAATTTGCTTTGTAAAGTAGTGTCTCTCAATCCTAGTACCACATGGTCTCTCATGGCTTCGTTCATGTTGAGAAACTCGCATGCTCCTCCAATGTCCCTCAGTGCTGCTACGAAATCCCCAATACTTTCGCCTTCTCGTTGATCTCGTTTATAAAATCCGTGTCTTCGGATGAGGTTGGAGACAACCGGCACATAATGGGCTCTCAGTATCCGGTTCAAATCTGGCCATGCCATCTGCTTGACATCATGAGGTTTGGACAATGCCTTGGCCATCTTGAAGATGGTAGAGCCGCAATGCGTCAGGAATACGGCTCTCTTCCTCTGGTCAGTGATTCCTTGCAGTTCGTTACTCTCTAAGAACATAAGGAACCTGTCGATATATGACTCCCAGTCTTCTTCGGCTGGGTTGAACGGTGCGGGTGGCGAGTTATTTCCAGACATCTCGTCGATTGCTCGGTTCTCGTTGCCATGTGCTTACAGTCTTTTTCCTCTCAATCCCACCTTCATCGCCAGTGTTCTGTTGTGGAACAAAGATGGACTCAAGACTGGAGTTGAATTCAGCTCTTTATTAAGCGTCAGTAACTTCAACTAAACTCGAGCCGCGGCAGCCTCTTTTATAGCGGCTGCTCGTGGCTCGCGGCCAATGGCATCATTTTAAACTTCCCGCTGTTGGCGGACCAATCGCAACAGTTGTTAAACCGCCAATCGCTAGGCGGCAGTGGTCGTCCAATCAGAATGTGGTATTACGAGTATGCAAATGTCTATATACAACACTCCCACATTCACCCAGAGATGAATCTGTCCTGGTTTCCATTTGAGGTGATGTGAACAAATTTAATTGGGGGAGGAGGGCAAAACTGAATCAATCCCCAAGCATTACGATTATTTTTTTTGTTAGAGTGAGAACTTAACCCAAAAGGTCCTTGCATTCATTTCAAAAATAAATGTAAAGAGCTTCGGTGCCCCATCTTTCAGGAGTCCCACAGGCTCAGGAGAAGAGAAGGAGCAGTGGGAGAGGACGACCAGATAAGCTCTTCACTGTTATTCAATTCCCTGACCAGAAAATCCGAGGAACTCCTCTGGTGTTGCTGTTTCTGCAGAGCCCCCAGTGGGGAAGGTGATCCACAAGGAGGTGAATGACAGCCTGGAGGTCTTCATCTGCCAGGCCGTTGGCTTCTACCCCAAGGAGATCCAGGCCACCTGGACCAGGGATGGAGAGGCCTGCCAGGACGAGACCCTCCATAGGAACGTAGCCCCCAACTCAGATGGGACCTATTATCTCTGGCTCAGCATTAAGATCAACCCCAAGGAGAGGGACCGTTTTCGGTGTCACCTGGAGCACGAGGGCTTGCAGGAGCCCCTGGACTTGGCTTTCAAGGAGGAAAGAGGTGAGAGGTTGAATGGTTATTGCACATAGAAGTATGCCAGTGGGATCTGTAGCTGGCCAAGGCCTCCCGAGCCTGGGAATAGGCTGAATCCTCCAGAGCTTTCCGAACCCCAAGGTACCTACACATTTGACTTCAGGGGTCCCCAAGTTGTGGGCTGCAGCCAACTACTGAGCCATGGCCTAATTGCCACTGGGCCGCATGAGTGGCCAGCCGGTGCGTGTGTGTCTTGTGCGAGCCTCGCTGTGGTTGCTGGTGGCCCCACTCATGTGAGCATCGCCGTGAGTGTTACAGGCATGCCTGCATGCCCACTTGTGCCTGCTCCTCCCACAAAAGCATCCCTCTTTCCTCCCTCCCCAGGCTGCCAACCCAGAAAAGTTGGGGAACCCCTTAATGACCTGTCTAATTGCTTCGTGGTTGCAATTGGAAAAGTTGTCATTGAGTAATGCAGTCATGGGGTTGTCTCAATTAATGACTGCTTTGCACAGTGATTCTGGTTCCAATCATGGTCATAAAGTCAAGGACCACTGTAAATGAAAGTAGTAGACATGACAGAAATGCTATGGAGTGGAAACAATGTTTTCCTTTCTGGGGGAATTATCTGATGGGCCAAGTCTTCCCATGTCATTCAATGTCCTTTTCAGCAGGGGAGGCTGGCCCTTTCTCAACCCAACAGGGTAGACCAGAGTAAGAAACCCTTATTATTTACACCAGCATAATCCTTATTATAAAGCGATAGTGACAAAATCTTGCCATCTGAACATGCCTCACTTTCCCACTATCTACCTTCAGGTGAACTAAGAGAAGCTGGACATATTTACTTAGTTTATTTACTTATTTCTTGACCCAGGCTTTAGCCTCTTCCTCCCTTGTCTGGCTGCTCCTTTCAGCGTGGTTCTTCCCTCTGTCCCCCAAGATCATTCCAGCTGCTCTCGGTGGGCTTTAGGCAGTGCCCCCACCTAAAGGAAGGCCCTCCCCTCCAAAGCTGCAGAGGAAATGGTCTTGGGGGGGGAGGGGCTTTCTTCAAATGGGGGCACTTCCTGGAGGCCAGTGCAGGTTGGGAAAGACTTCCATTGCTCAGCATCTCCACTTCAGAGAATTCAACATTTATCTAATCAGAACCATGTTTTTTCTCCTTTTTCAGCTACAGGGTGGCAGATTCCTGTGGGAATTGTAGTAACCGTAGTGTTGGCACTTGGGATTCTCTTCCTGATATGTAAGTGAAACAAACACACCCAATGACCTCCACCCCTGTGTCTTTTTGTGCTGACTGAGCTGGTGTGGATGGGAGAAAGACTCTTTGAGAGTTTCAGCCAGGACCCCCACAAGACCATCCCCCATAAACAGCATTTTGAACATGGGCAGGTGTTATGTCTCACCTGTACAAAAGAGGTGAGAAGTCCAAATTTCCAACTGAATACAAACAAGCAAGCAAATTATAGAGTTAACTCCTTGAGCCGATAAAGTTCTTGGCAGTCTTTCACACGCTGTCTGCCAAGTCCGACAAGAAAGCAGGAATATAAATCACACAAGCTATCACCACACAGGATAATCTGGAGCTCCTCTGAATAAGTCACATGTTGTCCCGAACAAGTTTCCAGAGCGAGCACACCCACTTTTATTCCCTGTGGGGCGTGTCAGTCCCTCAGCTCAGTCTCTGATTTGTCCCTTCTTTCTGCGTTGCAGCTCGCATTTTTGCCTGCAATGCTGCCTCGCATCAAGCCAGCATTCCTGTGCTTGATTCTCAGTCTGAGACTCTGATACGCCCTCCTCCTTTTCCTGATTAGCCTCAGGTCTTCCCTCCTGGTTATCTGCCGACACCTGAGGCACAATCAGGGAGGAAGGCATTGCCGAAGAGGAAGGTCCTGGGGAGGAAGGCATTTCCAAAACCTCCTCTTCCCCATTGTCCGAGTCTTCGTCCTCTAATAAAGCAGGCTCAAACCTCAGAGCCACAACAGGAAGGGGTGGGATGCTAGCGGTTCAGCCCGGTTTTATAGAACCGGTAGCTCCAAAGAGCAGCTGATACCGAACCGGTTTGCTGCCACGACAGTCTGGTCGTCTGTTTGGGCCACCTGCCTGCACGGGCTCTAGGCTGTTCTTTATCCTATCTTTTTACTTCCTCAGCTGCTTTGCACGGCACTGCTGAGTGCCACACTGCTGGAGAAGGTAAATGTTTGCTGGAGCTGGTACCACGCATGTGCATGCAGTGCATGTTTCGCATGCATGCACACGCTCCCCAAACCTGTTGTTATGCCGGTAGGATCTCACCCCTGAACATGGGTCAGAAAGGAAGAAGAAACTATGCAGACATTTTCCCACTTCCTGTCAATGTCCGAATGTTCCACCTTCCTTTTGTCAGGGAAGAAGTCTCTTTGGCCTTAATAGACTTACTTCGGAGGAGCAAATATTAGGGTTCAAGAATCAAAGAAAAGTCATAAAAACAACCTCAGAAGCCCCAGACAATCCATAGTCCCACCATGCGTTATCTCACCTGGCAAGAAAGACCTTCAGGGAAGCTCTGGTGATACCTGGGGGCCATGGAGGGAGGGGCCTATATCTTTTGCCCCTGCTTGCAGTCACACCTGGGGACAGACAACAGCAGGGGAGAAGATCCAGGAGTGTAAGGAGCTGCTGCTTGCTCTGCTCCTAATCACAGCAAAAGTAATGATGTGGAAAGTTTTCTCCTCAGTTGAGCGCAACCAAATGCAGCTCAACACATCCAAGCAATTCTCTCAGCAACAGTGAAGAAATGCTTTGCCATTTCCTTCTTCCAGGATCGGCCCTTTGACTTGTTTGCAACTCATGTTGCTCGCTTGTCGGTCTCGGGTGCCAGTGCTAAGTCAATCAGAGCCAGCTTAGCTTTTCAAGATCAGGCAAGATGGCTGGTTATTGGAGCTGGCCAGGTTGCAAAAGAGGCTTTGGGGTAAAATCAAAACAAATGTGGCGAGAGAAAGGTTAAGGAATTACCAAGTGTGGTGGAATCTATGGAGAAGACCAACTGTCTTGTACCAAATAACAGGATTCCCAGAGTTTTGGCATCCTTGCTTAAGAGTAATTGGTGGTGATTTAATAGAAGGCTTTATTGGGAGCAGCCCAAAATGATTGAGCCAGCTCTCAATGGTTTTAGTGGTGGCGGACTGTGATTTCCCATGAAAGCTCAAATAGGAGCAAGAATGGTGTCAGAGTATATTCATGAACTGGAATAGAGCATGGTAATAGGGTCAGCCAATGAATAGGCATAGCAACTAAATCAGCCAATGAGGACTGTTTTGGAAACCAAAACTAGTAGCCTAGGCTGGAAACTGAAACTAAAAGTAGCCTAGGTGTGGCTCTATGTTAAGCTCTGCAACTCTGCAGCTATTTTGAGCTCTGAGTCTGTCTATTGCTGATGAAACTAACTTGCTTGCTTGCTGAAGGCTGGAGCTTTGCTCTGAACTTGCAACGTGTTTCTGTTTGAGTTTGCTCCATGTTGGAGAAATCTACAACTGGTTTGTAAAATCTACTTATGTTTATAAAGATCTTGAATGAAGCATCAGCCATCTGTGTTTATTTTTCTGGCGCTGAATTATTGCTACAAAACTCTCAACAAATGGTTTCAACTTGATCAGTTCTCAATAACGCCCAGGAGTGTTTCGTTTCATTTCCCTGTGGCCAGCAACTTTTGACAGCCAACAGTTTTGTCTTTTGTCCCTAACAAACAGATGGCAGCACTAATGCAACTCTCTCAAGGTGCTGGGTTATAATCCAGACTTAGAAGTCTTCTAGAGGTCTTCCGCATGAGTCCAAGATCTCCATCTCAGGCAGGAGCTGCTGCCCCCAAAATTAGCCAACTGTCTTCTCTTTTTCCCATCTAACAGGCTGGTGCTGGAGACGTATGACAACTGTCTGTCAGAAAACAAAATCTTCGCCTGACAATTCTCTATTAGAAGTACATTCTTCTTCCCCTACTTCTGGCAGAGAAGAAAATGAGAGGCTATTACAATCGTCACCCCAATCCAAAATAACTTTAGATGTGAGTCTGACTGTTGCTGAAGTCTATGTAAGATGCAAAACTCTGGGCTAGGGGAAATACCCAAGAGCCAGGACCATTGAAGTGTTGGGTGGGGGAACATTCATCCCCAAAGTCTTTCCGAGGCAACCATGAAGGGATTATGAGCTGCTTGGGGGTCCTCAGCCCCTCCCGCTGGAGACCTTGTGATTGGCTGCTCTGCAGGGAAGATCCAGCCCAGCTCAGCCTCTCGCACCCATCAGCTCTGAGGAAGGAGAATGAATGAAGGAGCCAGGAACAGAAGCTGGAACTGGGGTTACCCTGGAGAAATGTGGGGTTTCTGTCCACGAAGGACTGGAAGGGAGGGAGAGAAGGAATGGGAGGATGGAAAAACAAAGGGGGGAAGGGGGCTGTCCAGGAAAACGTTCCCTGGAGATGATGAGCTGCAGGGATAAACTGCATGAGATGGGCACCATACAGATGAGACAGAGGGAGAGGGAGGGAGGAAGAGGGAGGAGAAGGAAAAGGAGAGGAAGGAAGGAAGGAAGGAAGGAAGGAAGGAAGGAAGGGGAGGAAGGGGAGGAAGTTTGAGGGAGAAGTGAGGACCAGCACACACCCACATATACCAGGAGCTGTTTCTTTCAAGCCTTTTTGGCTGCCAGGGTTGTAGTTGGAATAACGGAGCTCATAAGGACTCTTGCCTTGAGCACGGGGCTGGACTAGAAAACCTCCAAGGTCCCTTCCAGCCCTAGGATTCTATGATTCTAAGTGGAGAAGGGGGTGGGGAAACATTGCTAGTATGAAGTATACTTTTGATGTCTTCATTTTCTCTCTTTGCAGGACAGGACATCCTATGGATGGTGGAATCCCCAGAGAGCTGTGGGGGACTCTGTGTCAACCTTGCACAGGCGAGAAGGGAAGCAGCCTCCACGCAGAAGATCCTCATTGGAGTCCCTGGACAAAGCGGGAGCAACAGTGAGAATAGATGGAGCAAGAGTGGCCAAAATTGGAGGAAAGATTAAAAGTTTCAGCGCATGAATAGGCATAGCAAGTCAAAATTCCTAGAGGAAGAGGGCTAATAACTTCAAGCAGCCTCAGGGGTCCTGGCTGCCACCACCAGGGAGGCCCTAACATCAACACCAGGCCCAGGGGTGGGATTTTACCAGTTTGCACCTCTTCGGTAGAACTGGTTGTTAACATTCTAAGCAGTTCGGAGAACCGGTTGCTAGAAGAAATTACTGGCCTAATCCTGTAAGGAAGGCAGGAAGGAAACATTCTGGTGTTGCTTACAGAAATTGCCTCTCCGTTAACTCTTTTTACATTCTTGGCAGAACTAGACTTCCTGTCTCAGGAACGTCTCTGGAGTTTTTTTCCCCCCTCCTTTGATTGTGTGGACATCTAGCCCTGTTTCGTCATTTCCTGTTTTTCCTGAAAAAAACAGAAGTGATGAAACGGGGCTAGATTTTGGCCTACAAAGCTTGTAGAAGCCTGCAGAAGCCTTCCTCCAGCCTTTGGGAGGCCAAGAAAGGCCTCAAACAGGCCAAAAATCAGCTGTGGGGCACGTACATGCGCAGTGAGGTAAGTTTGCCTTCGGCTTGTGTGCTGGCACAAAATGGCTCTGCGTGCCACCTGTGGCAGGCGTGCCATAGGTTTGCCTTCACAGGTCTGGTGTTTCATAGGCCATAGAATAATAATAGGGTTGGAAGGGACCCTGGAGGTCTTCCACTCCAAACCCCCCATCGACCCACCACAAAGACCCTATACCATTTCATACAAAGAGCAGCCCAAACTTTTCTTAAAACCTCCACTGAGGGAGCATTCACAACTTCTGGAGGCAAGTTGTTCCACTGATTAATTGTTCTCACTGTCAAGAAATTTCTCTTTAGTTCTCGGTTGCTTCTCTCCTTGATTAGTTTCCATCCGTTGCTTTTTGTCCTGCCCTCAGGTACTTTGGAGAATAGATTGACCCCCTCTTTGTGGCAGCCCCTCAAATACTGGAATATTGCTATCTTGTCACCCCCTTCTCCTTCTTTTCATTAAACTAGAGATACCCAATTCCAGCAACCATTCTTTATGTTTTAGCTTCCAGTCCCCTAAGCATCTTTGTGACTCTTCTCTGCACACTTTCTAGAGTCTCAACATCTACATCATGGCAACCAAAACTGGATGCCGTATTCCAAGTGTGGCCTTACCAAGGCCTTATAAAGTGGTATTAACGCTTCACATGATCTTGATTCTATCCCTCTGTTTATGCAGCCTAAAACTGGGTTGGCTTTTTGGCAGCTGCTGCACACTGCTGGCTTCTATTTAAGTGGTTGTCCACTAGGAGACCGAGATCCCTCTCACAGTTATTACTATTGAGCCAGGTTCCACCCGTTCTATACTTGGGCATTTGGTTTTTCTTGCCTAAGTGTGGGGCCTTATTTTCTCACCACAGAATTTCATTTTGTCAGATAGGGCTCCGCGTTCAAGTCTGTTGAGATCCTTCAGGTTCTTGAGCCTATCTTCCGGAGTGTTGGCTGTTCCTGTCAGCTTAGTGTCATCTGCAAATTTGATAAGTTCCTCTTTTATCTCCTTATCTAAATCATTAGGAAGCCATTGAACAGCACTGGGCCTAAGACAGAATCTTGGGGTACCCCACTACTTACTACCCTCCATGAAGATGTAGAACCATTAAGGATGACACGTTGAGCAGAGTTTGTAAGCCAGTTACAAATTCATCTGGTGTTGATGCTATCTATCCCACATTTTTTCTTATTTACTAAGAATTAGATTGCAGTCTCCTTTGTCAAATGCTTTACTGAAATCTAAGTATACTATTTCCATAGCATTTCACTGGTCCACTAATTTAGTCACTTTGTCAAAGAACAAAATAAGATTTGTTTGGCATGATTTCTTTTTGACAAATCCTTGTTTACTTCTGGTGTTACATTTGCTTGTTTCTAGGTGTTTGCAAGTCAGTGGCTTGATTTTCCTGTTTTCTTATTTTTTTACATGTTGTTATTATTTTTGACATTTGTTGCAAGTCTTACTTCACTCTGAAACTTAGTTTTCCTGAGTTCATCTTTGCAGATTCTGACTTTCTGCTGGTATTCTGCCTTAGTTATATGTCCCTCTTTCTGTTTTTTATACTTGTCCTGTTTGTCTTTATCAGAGAATTCTTTATTCAACCATGCTGGTTTGTATTTCAAGAGCCATGGTGGCACAGTGGTTAGAATGCAGTATTGCAGGCTAATTCTGCCGACTGCCAGCAGTTTGATCCTGAACGGCTCACGGTTGACTCAGCCTTCCATCCTTCTGAGATTGGTAAAACGAGGACTCAGATTGTGGGGAGCCATAGGCTGACTCTGTAAACCACTTAGAGAAAAAGTATTTAAGACTAAGTGCAATTGCTATAGCTAAGTTGCATTCGCTACCAAACTACTACATAAACTGTTTAAAGCTGTATTGCAAGAAAATTTTCACAATTGACTCTGAGTTGTGATAGAAGATTCAGGCAATATATATATATATATATATATATATATATATATATATATATATATGTGTGTGTGT